AAAATGGTGTTCTAGCTGTATTACATCTCCCCTGTTTTCCACACAAGAATGGCATAACAGCTGCAAAGTGTAATACTCACTAGCTGCCATCTTAGTCAAGGATTTAGTGTCTATGTGCAGAGTTGCCCTTCTCAGAAACTTTGCATGGTGGCATTCCACTGAATGGAGTTTTTGACAATTAAAATTGTGCCCACATTTTCAAAGTTAAACACATTTCTTTTAACAACGGTAGTTTCTGCTTCAGCCATCTCCCCCCTCCCCCTGCGCAGCGGCCGCAAACTCACTGATGCGCCTGCAGCCTCTCGGAGTTCCTGCTGCTCTAAACATTAAAATAATTATTTCATTTTCTGTTCCTCACTTCTGATTACCTTCAATGGTGTCTGTTTGTTGCAACCACCAGGTACAAAAACTAACTTGTTTTTATTTGACTATTTTTCTGTCCTGCCTGTTTATTATCTTCCTGCATCTCCTCTCAGTCCTAAAGAGAAACTGCTACCTGGGTTCATATATATTCACCTTATGAATTACCTTTGAACTGCAGTTCTAAAAGATCTACCGACCGCAAAAACAGCAGAGTGCTCGCTGCTTGGTGGCCGCATCAGTGATCGGTGCATCACCAGATGACAAGGTGATGCGCCCCGCTCCACAGCGAAACGCATCAGGCGCAAATAAAGGACAAAAAACATTAAAGGAAATGAACCGACATGAACGATCGCATGTTAAATTAGTTTTTGAGGTGGCAACACCTGATTTGATAATGTTACTGTGGCCGTGCTCAGGACGCAGATCTACCGACCGCAAAAACAGCGGAGTGCTCCCTGCTTGGCGGCCGCATCAGTGATCGGTGCGTCGGAGGACAAGGTGATGTGCCCCGCTCCACAGCAGCGAAACACATCAGGCGCAAATAAAAGACAGAAAACATTAAAGGAAATGAACCGACATGAACGATCGCGTGTCAGTACCGACGCTCTGGCAGAGCGCCTTGCCCCCCGGAGCGCAGGAGCTTGTCACCTGCTGACAGCAGGCTGCTGTCTTTTCTGAGGACTGCATCTTGCCGGTCATTATCACGTGACAGCGACTAGTCGATGACAGGCATAAAAAGTCACTATAGTGAAGTCGACTAGTTCATACAACCCCTATTGCTCCCCAGTGTTCTGCAGCATAATCAGCACGTTCTCTTTGAACTTGATATCAAATTGTCGCCTCCTCTTCGTCTCCGCACGGTTAAAGTTACCCTCGCGGTCTATCACTGGCAAATCTAAAGTGAGACGATGACACAACCGACCCCCGTACTTGCTTGTTACCACATTCCACCCGGCCACAATAAGAGACCGGCCATTATTCACCTCCGCCGACTCTGACACCGGCCAAAATATGAGACCTGGCTGTTAACTGAATACAGGCCTGTATTAGAGGATTTACGGTATGTATATAAACACCTGTTTATATATAACCAACCCCGTGCGCCCTCACGGACACCGCAGGAAGACGTTGCTCTTGATACCCTTGGTGTGGCTGCTGGGTATCTGACCAAGGATAGCGGAGGCTATCGAACTTTGCTGGTCGACCGTGATGGAAGATCCGCGAGTCTACCGTTGTTGACGTCTCTGGTCAGGAACACAATGCGAATCCGCGAGCCAAGTCAATGCTCCCAGAGACAAGTGCGTCGACAATGGCGGACTCGCATATCTTTGACTGCGGTGGACCAGCAAGCTTGATATCCTCGTTCAGCTTACCTAGTTATAATTTTGTTACAAAGCAGGCCGAAGGCGCCTTCACTTTGAAATCACTCTGCTGTGTTTGTCTTGCTAAAAAAGTCCAGACAGACTCTGTTAACTTAAGATTAGCAATTAGCTAATATCCCGCTGATCTCCGACCATGGAGAATGAGCTGATCTGAAAGGTCAGGGCTCCCGCTCACAGTGGTCTGGCTCTGCTTGTATTAAACAGTCCCAGTCCATGTTGGACCTCCACAGGAGACCAGCGTGACTTTGCACCGAAGTGGGCTACTCTGTGGTCCTTGGTGCCTGTCTTAGCTTCTTGGATTAGCTAGTTGCTACATTGGTTTCATTTGTGCAGACCCTGTTCGAAACGTAACAGCCACACCCTCGTGGGGGTGGGCGTGGGATTTTTTCTGGTGGGGTGTAATGGGCGGGCTATGTCCATATTTTTATACGTTGATGGTGCCAGGCAGACTTTTGAAAATATGCAGCAAGAAGTGGAAGTTGCTTCTTTCTTTAAAATTAACAAATATATCAGGGGTGTGTTGCTTCCATGAATACTCTTTTCAGCTTGTAGCTGCTACTTTAACGCTTCTGTCTGCTATAGTTGTGCACTTCCTAGGTTTGGTTTCTGGTTAGATTGTTTTTTTAGTTGATCCTCTAATTGGTATGTTTGTCTTTAGGCTGTTGAATTTCCCCGGACATTTTTTCCATCAGCCCCATTTATTCTTTTAAGCTTTTCACCTGCTCTTAAATCTACTCAGTAACAAAGACACGCACTAGTTTTAGTCCCTGGTTTCTTTGTGACGAGCTGTTCTGATCAACCTTTTGTATTTTACACGGCTACTTTTGCGTTGCTTTTGATAAAGCTGTGGGTCCAACTACCAAACCATTACAGGTTCTCTCTTCTCTTTTTATAAAGTTTTCACATTAGATCTTTAGTCAAAGCTAAGTCAAATGGCATTGAGGTTTCCAGGATATTTTAGGTCATTTCATGCTGCTATACTGGTTTTTGGTTCTACTTTGTTGTTCACCAGCACCGCAAACTTGATTTTCACAAACTGTCTCCTCACAGAGCGATTGCAGGAGGCAGGAAGTGCTTGTTGCAACACTGTGTGAATGTTACACTCTGACAAACGGCTCGGTGACATTTGACAAGTACAGCTGTCTGGACTGCCCTGTGAATGTGTCGACGTGTGTCTGAGTCTGTGCAAGTTTTCCTGCCTCATAATGCATCACTTCCTCTATCTATTTGACTTCTTGCAGACGGGCGGCTGATGCTACAGATGGGGCTTGTGTGAGACCAAGTTCAGGAGCCATAAAGCACTCCTCTAATTGACTTGTTTCTCCAGCTCTTACATTTCAAACCCCCTCTAGACTCTTAGATCACCAAATATCATCACAACTGTTAGTAAAAAAGCTAATAACTATTGGGCAAATGAAAGGAAAAAGTTCAAATTTATCACTTTTCTGGCTCAGAGGAGCACAATGGCTGATGCCAAGTCAGTAGTAAGGATTTGAGCCTCAACTCGGCTGCCAAGAAAGATTTGTGTTCTGCTGCATTACACGTCCAACTGGAGCTGGTCTGAGGAGGCTACTGAGTTATTGTCATGTTGGGATGCAAGGAGTGTGCCTCCCTCCTTCCCAGAGGCCCCCTTCTCCTTATCACTGATGTTGCCCAATGACAGGGGGCTTATTTGTCCAATGTGTGTTTGCTCTTTGTCAAAACGAGGGTAAACGACTGGATGAATAACAGGACAAGCTGAGCATTATGTAACAACACCACTCTGGTATTAACATCCCAGTGTTGAGTGGTTTGCATGTAAAAAAAAACCTACTTGCTGTCAGAAAGTGGGTTTGATTACATCGAGGTGGGTTAATTTCAGGAACTTCAGCAGATTAACTGACCTGCAATCACCTGGGTCATTGTTCCACCTGATGAAGGTGGACCAAAACTGTGAGGCAGAAATATTTTCACTCAGTCTTTAATAAGTTTCAGGTCAAATTCATGTCGATGATCAGTCCTAATGTGCTGTTTTGCCAAGCGAACAGTAAGTAAAGGTCTCTAAAAACCATTCAAATGTTTTGGCTATGTCATTTTCACATTCCAGACACGCAGCGATGAGGGTCAACTGTCTTATGTGATCATGTGTGAGTGCATGTGTGCGCATGTGAGTGTGTTCAAATGACTATGGAAGTGCAATGGGAAACAAAAAGGACTTGGCTGGAGGATTGGGTGTAAATGGGTGTACCGTGAAAGACAGGGAAAACAAAAGCAGATAGATAAAGCCAGAGAGGGGTGGGAAAATTAAAAGAAAATAAATGGGAGGGTAGAGAGGAAAATAGAGAAGAAGTGGAGTTAAGTAGGGGTGGAAAATAGCGGAAAAAAACTAGGGAGGGCAAGAGGGAAGGCTGAGGGCCTTTGGGAGTGGCTGCAAGGGTCGTTTGAGTTGGAACAAGCAGAGAAGGGGATTTGGGAAGGGAACGGGGGTGGGCGGGGGAGCGACACTGTGAAATGTTGAAAAACCTCACAATTGATGGTGTTTGATTTCCACAGTAATTACCATTCCTCTGGCTCCGTGCATTCCCAATCTGGCCCTATCTTATATCCACGCCACATTCCACAAATGATTAGCTGGCCCAGAGTTTCTCCCCGCTACCTACGGACCAAGATTGTAAAGAAGGAAGGGAGAGATTTCAAAATATAACTGCTGTTGAAACAGCACAGTCAGAAAATATGAACACAGTCAAAGTAGGTTTTTATTTCATGCTGCCACTTTCACATGGTAAGAAAGATTATTTAATTGAATGCAACAATGCAAAAATGTTCCCTTACTACATTCCCATAGGGTATGTAAGAAAGGGGAACGATAGACAGGAACAGGACAAGCGATTTTCACACACAGTCCAATAGCCGTGATGCTCAGCTGTGCATAAAGATCTGGCTCTGATCGTCTAGAAAATGTCTACTTCGCCTTTTCATTCTGTAATAATCCTCCACTCTGCACACAGCTCGTCAAAATGAAGTACCGGTACTTGGGGATTAACCGTCTCTCTTTGCATGTTTGCATTTCTGCGTGCTTGTGTTTGTGTCTGAGTGGTTGCAAAGTATTCATTTACATGACATTTTTAAGACTGGTTAACTAGAGCTCTGGAGCTCTAGGACACAAAACTTCAGAGAACCTTGAGGTCCGGGGCTTCTGCCACTGCTCCATCAGCCTTGGCATCAATCACTGTCGAGCCTGCAGCGTATGCCAGTCACTGAGGGCCTGCCAACAGGCCCGGAGTGGCTAATCGGGAGGGTCTGGAGAATTCCCGGTGGGCCGCGCGATGTTTGGGCCGCATGGGCCGGTGCTCTCGTTTTTGTTTTTTATCATTTTATTTTTATTTTTTGGTGCCGGTGTTCAGTCATGGCACTGAGGCCGCCGGGCTGATCTCATACGCTCCTCCCGGCTGTCTCTACCTGCAGGCTGCAGCTCGTTTTTTTTCTTTTTGCCCAATATGCGCCTGTGCGCACCACGTGACCTCGCAGTTGACGGAAAGATGGAAAGTAGAAAGAGCAAGGGTGGCGCGGAGAAGGCAAGAATTAAAAAGAGGAAAGCGCTGGAAACAGATGCAGCTAAATGTGCAAAAATGAGCACCTTTTTTTCTCAAACAAGCTTGCGGTCTTTAACTTCAAATGAAGATAAAACGGGTAAGGCAAGTCAAGATGTTAAACTTTACCGGCTGCAAATCACCATTCAAGTTAATTAAGCATCAATAATGAATTATATGGCGTCATGACATAACGTTATGTAATATAGTTAACAGTATGATGTGACTGATGCCACCAAACTGTCTTGTAGCCCACAAGATCCAGTAGGCCTAATAAGCACCAGGCAGAAACCCACCATTCCAGAGTGGACATGTACAGGTAGGATTACTTATTGAGTCAGTGAACTGAATATTATTAAAATTTATATGATGAAAACTATCCTGGCTCTATATGAAAGTGTTCTAAAATGCTAGATGATTCAGCATTGATCAGAAAGCGTGTAAAAAGGAAAATGAATGCTGAATTGTGACAATTTTCACACAATGTAGTGTCAGAAGAAGAGCCAGGAGCCAGCAGTGAGGGTATTGCTCCTGTTGGGATAGAAGGTGAGCCAACTCATGTGCAAACAAGCAAACATTAGTTTCATTATAATAATTTTAATGTCCAAATAATAGTAGTGACCTGTTGTATTTTTATTAGTAAATGCACAAAGCCCACAACAGATAGTTATTAGAATGAAAGTAAAATGAAATAAGCCTGCATATTTTGCCATAGAAAATATTTTAATTGGTTACAAAAAATGTGTTTTCCATATCAAATGTGCTAAAGCTTTACAGATGATTATTTTAATTGTGTGCAGGTGAGTCTAGGGAAACTGGAAAAAGTGTGAAAGGGAGTGCTGAGTCATTTCATTTTAAAGGTTTGAAAATCTCAGAACAGCTGTTTGAACAGAAGGTAGATTGTTATATTGTTAGAGAATGTGTTGTAAAGAACAATGTTGGAGATGTGCACTGATGTTCAAATAAACCTACATTGTAAAGCAACTCTTTCTTGCACTGAATTACAAGGCTTTACCGAGTAGTGTGCTTTTGTAGACTATACATATAAAGTTCTAACATGATTTTAATAATAATTCATTAAGTGGGCCGGTCTGGGGTCTGAAACTCCAGGGCTGAAAATGTGTCCCACTCCGGCCCTGCCTGCCAAGCTCTAAAGTCTCCCTCGAACATTCCAGTACTTCACGGGGGAGCAAGAGAAAGACACATGGTGTGTGAAAATGTATGTTCACGCAGCAGGCTCAGAGTAGACATCCGTATGTAGACGTGAAGGTCAAGCATTAGCTTAACCGTGTAACAAGATGACCTTCTTACAATGACGAGTCAAACAGCTAAGGGTGATGCCAAAAGGTTAACGACCTGTATTTAATTAAGCATTTTATAATTTTATGACTTTTTGTTTTGTTGTTCTTTGTGAATCACTTTGTGATTTTTCTTTCGGTGATACGTGCTTTCTAAATAAACGTTACTTACTTGCCGTGTGCCGGCACCACTGGCCCCTCAGACCACCAACGTGTCTTGCCCGAGGACACAACTGCAACAGGCGGAGCTGGGCTCAAACCCACAAATTACGAGGGGCATGTGTGGTGTTCTTTACAACAAGAGAGCACGAAGATGCAGGACAACGGTGGGCCGCTAACATGAGCTTTACTTTAACTCCGCACAAGCTTAACACACGCACAACGTCATCAGCGACCAAAGAACATCAGCCAAGTCAAGAAAACTCAGTCTACCGAAGGCGCCACTGCACCTAACTCCTCCAGCCCCATTGCCACCAATTCCATCCATCACAGCGTAGTTTGCTGGGGCTACCGTCAGGGAAAGACAGGGACTGCAACACATTGAGCGCTCAGCCGAGAAGGTGATTGGCTGCAGTCTTCCATCTCTACATGACCTGTATGCTGCAAGGACCCGGGGGAGAGCAGGCCGAATTGCAGGCGACATCTCTCACCCTGGCCACGGACTGTTTGAGAAGATTCCATCTGGCAGGAGGCTACGATCCATCAGGACCAAAACCTCTCGTCACAAAAACAATTTCTCCACCTCTGCCGTCTGTCTCATGAACACTTGGTGATACCTACACTAACCTGAACATTAAATACCAGTCACTGTAATAGTATGTTTGCACCATTTATCCTGCTGCTAATTGTAGATAATATTTATCATTTATTACATACTATGTGTTTTTTTATGTGTGCTCATGTTGCACCTTTTCACCAAAACACGTTCCTAGTCGGTGAGCTGCGTTCAGTGACAATGGCAATAAAAAAATCTTCTCTCAAGATAAACATCACGAGGCGCTTCACAAAAACAAAAATGTAAAATATAAAAAGAATGTAGAACATGATTAAAAATATATTTAAAATGGGCAAAAATAGACATTGTGATTAAAAAATGTAAAGAAAGAGAGAGAGAGTGATTAGGAAAGAGGGAAATCAATGGATCCTGAGGAAGGTGGAATAGGTGGAGAGAGCAGAACAAGGAGAGGGTGAAGAAGGTCACACCAGAGCCAGCTTGAACAGGTGAGTTTAAAGGAGACCACTGAGTCCACTGATCTCAGGCTCAGGGGGAGAGAGGTCCAGAGTCTGGGGGCCACAGCAGCAAATGATCTGTCAACTTTGTCGAAAGCTAGGATGCTATCTTAGCTTAGCTACATGAATGGTGCAGCTCATAAGCACACCTGGTCCGGATCGGAACCGGTGTCAGAACCGGAGAGGATCTGGAAATTTCAAACTGTAAAAATGAACTTGCTTCGCTTGGAATGAGTCGTCGGACGGTATTAAAAACACGGCCCGTTTACAGGATCTTAGCTTCTTTGTTGGTTATACCGTCAGATTTAGAGCGTCGTCTATTCCAAGTTATACACAAGCAGTACACAAGTAAGTGTCAGCAAACACACAAATAAGCACATTCACTCTCCCTTGTGAAGATAAAACAATCTTGTTAGCAAAATCTTTGGGTGGTCATAGACTTGGTTGTGTGAGAGATGAGTCAGCGCTATGCTGATAAGCTCCATCTCGTTTCAACAGAACAAAATCCAGCCAAAGAGTTTTTGTAACTTTAGAAAGAACGGAACTAACAGGAAGAGTTATGATTTGATTAGACTGGATCAGCATGACATGAAAATGTTGCGATAAGGATTAGCTACTTATTTATTAAATGTTCAATAAGATGTGATGTTCCATATAAATATGAAATATTAATCTGAATGTTTAATCAGAAGACTTTATTCAGGGAACACACATACTTCATATCAATCCAGACAGAGTCAAGAATATAGTTATAAAAATGATTTTAATTCTATTTTTCTAAACTAAACGATCGTACATGACAAAGTATGAATGAAATGATAGTTGTACAGCTAAAAGATGATGAATGGGATGTGAGCTGGGTGTTTTAGCATCACCTTGGGAATATCTGAGAGAAATTGTGGAGTCTGGGTGGTAAAATCAGTTTGGCTGTATGGTTTGATAAGCTAGAGATTTGTTTATAAAACCATCCGACACAATCGTGCACAGTCTACGCATCTTTGTGTAACTGTTGCCCATCGACGGTCCAGACAAAAGCGGCCCAAGAGGTTCACCGGACATCGAGACCACAGGAACCCAAAGAAGGGCAGTTCCTTTTGAATTCAGATTTCTAGTCCAGCCATGAGATGCAACCAGGGTCTGCAGGTTAGATGTCTTTCTGAGGTGTTGGGTGGCTCAAAAAAGAGTTGTTGTGTCTGAAATCACTCACAAGCATTGCAGAGATAGCCTGGCAAGCCAGACTAAATAAATGTATTATTTAGTCTGGCCATGCTTCATTGACGGCTCTCGGTTGTGGGGCGGGTTCTACCGTTGTCTTTCAAATGATCTCTGCATGCTACTGGACAATGAATGTGACATACTCTTGTTTCACTCTGTTGCATCATCCCACCCACCAGGCATGTAGAGTGCCATGATTGGCCCACAAAGCGGATAAAGCTCTGTGATTTGTTCACTAAGCAGATAGAGCACTATGATTGGCCCACCATTATGGACCAATCACAGCTCTTTATGTGTTTGAAACCCCTCTAGAGAACTGTGATTGGCTAGCCAGAGTCCTGGTAGGAGCTGCTGAGGTTCCAATGGAGCATGCCTAGACCATTCTTTGCAAAGCAAGAATTTGGTCTAGTTCACTAGGCTATTGCAGAGAGGCTTTGACCTTGGGGTCAAAAAAGAGGATGGTTCCAAATGCTTGCTCACCGAAAAGAATCATGACAGGAAAAATATTCATTTTAACACGTCACTGATTGATGCGCACATTATTCAAACACTTTGGATTGAAACATGTTGTTCATTCAACACATTTGATTATATCAACCTATAAAGTTGTAAAGTCATTTATGTTCAAGGAAGATGAACTTTATTCAGAGTGAAAGTGCAGGAAGTCTTGTCTTCTGCATGGGCCTCGTCTCCCGCAGAGATAAGGTCATTCAGGAAAAGCACTTAATGGCTAACTCGAAGATCCTTTCTCAGCCATTGTGTCTCCATACAAGTAGCCCCCTCTCAGGACTTTACTAAGACGTCAGCATATCACGACTGCTTTGGCAGTGAGTTACGTTACTGAGCAGAGTCAAAAGGCATCAACAGACACCAATAACAATAAACCTTTTATTCTGTCAATCAATCTTTGGGGCATTTTTCAGTCCGTAGCAGACAAAATCTTAAATACAGTCTGTGATCAGTGTCTTGTCGCTAGCGTCTGGTATAGCTTGATATCAGTTTAAGTGTGCCAAAGAGGATGTGTTGTGTAGGGCCGGGCCTTTTGATGATGCTTTCTTCTCCACACTCTTGAGTATCAGTCTCTTGAATCTTTTCTGAACAATTGCTGGATTTTTATAGCCTGGAAAGTCATCCTATGTGAAAATATAGTCAGGCCACGACCCCCAGACAGATCTTAGTCATGGGGCCGACATGCAGAGCAAAAGCATTTTGCTGCGACAACTGTCTAGATTTCTAAGCTAGGAATATTAATTGTTAGCATAATGTCTCCATTATTCAGTATTGTTTGTTCTTAAATTAAAGCATTTTCTCCATTAGATATCCATGGAAAGGCATTTCACAAAGTAACAGAAAAAACGTTTCCCCGTGCAGCTTTGTTTCTGTGCCAATCAAACCGGATTTAACTTGCAATAAAGACGTGATATTGTAAGGATAAGAACATTTATTAAAGCCTAAACAGAGAAGGAAACCACAAAGAAACAAAACCATTTGGAAATAAAGTTCTTAGCAAACAATGCTTTCTTCATTAGGAAAACGCGATCCATTATAGAATAAAGTGCTTTAAACCTCCTCTGGGTCTGCTGCATCAGGTTTTGATCAGAACATTAAAAGGCAACATGAACATTGATGAGTAAATATGTTCTGACTGGTCCAGGTCAGTGTGGTGAGTTAGAAGAGAAAAAGAAAAATGTGAAAATGTGACACTTTTTGAGATTTACACACAGTTTCATGTATAAGTTATCAAAAAAGTGTCCCACTTCCTGTCTTTTGTGCAGAATAAGAATCAACTGTGAAAATCTTGGAAACACATTTAAATTGCAATTGGAGTTGTTTTTTTGTGCTAACTGAGCTCTTTCACAAACATGGCAACTCAGTGGCTAATATCTCACTCCCAGCATGCACTTAAAGTTTTACTGAAGAACTCAAATGACACTATTGCAGTAAAAAGCTGTGAATTACTCTCTTAGTGCTCCTTCATTACATATGTGTGTAAGGCTGTCCAATGATGACGTCCAGTGGAAAAGGGAAACACTCCGACGGGCCTCACTTTACTCCTGTTTTTTCTCCTGCATCACACATTCATCTATAATCCTGCCTTTTCTGCAGGAACTATCCATCACAGTCTTCCAGGTTTCCCTGCCCGATGCAGAACTATGTAAAAAATGTTCCTGTGCCTTCCTATTGCCTTTTTAGGAGTGGGAAGAACTGCACTCACCAATCTCTCATTCTTCTTTCCCACTG